ATCACCGATTTAATATCTTCTCCCTCAAGTGTTCTTCAGATTTACTGAGACTTACAACTCTCAGAAATCTCCCAACTATTGATGGTTGGTAACCACCACCTCTCTGGTGTATAAATGCATTAGTGATTCGTGTTTCTTCTGTCCTTGGACCTCTGTAGGAGCTCCCTGGTGACCTCTGCCGACTTAGAAAGCCAAGGAAGGACGCCATCTCCTTCTCCTCCATACAGCAGTTCTCCTAGCCCATCTGGGTAAGACAGAATCTGAGGCGGTGTTCCTCACTCTCCCAGTGAAAATGAGAAGGCAGAGTCCTGGTTGGTGCACCCTACTTATGCTACTGTGGGATGTCCTATCCAGATGGACTTTCCCGGTTCTTGGTCTCATTTGTAGCCGGAGAAATAGGAAGAGGGGTTCTGTGAACAGGAGAAGAAATAGATCTTCTTTCCCAGGGACAAGACCATCCCTTGATCTGGAGGGAGCATCCTTCTGGGAAAGCCATTTGGCCTAAGATGTTCCCTTCTGGATCATTTCTGGGGATGGAGTGGAAAGGTGAGAGGTTGAAGATGGTTAGAAGATGGATGTTCTCAGGCCTCTTCCTGCCACCTTATCTTCTAAGAAAGGACAAGATCCTGGAAATCAACCCAAGAAAATTTCTTCAACCTATTTCTCCTTGAAAAACCATGTCAAGTTGTCTTTCCTCAACCAGAATGACCCTGAGGGTAGATTTAAAGCTAGGTCTCCTCAGATCTTCTCCAGCTACTGGAGAACAAGTACACTACTTTAGCCATTGCCCTAAGCAAAACACGGGCTTAAGGCTTAGTCTAAAGGCTAAAACATATAAAGAACGGCTGCTGGAATTGGGTATGTCTAGTTTGATGAAAAGAAGGACTAAGGATGACATGATAGCAGTGATCCAATATCTCAGGGGCTGCCCCAAAGAAGAGGGAGTCAAGCTATTCTCCAAAGCACCAGAAGAAGGCAGGACAAGAAGCAATGGGTGGAAACTAATCAAGGAGAGAAACGACCAGGAACTAAAGAGGAATTTTCTGAGAGTGAGAACAATTAAACAGTGGAACAATGCTCCAACACTGGAGTGTAAATGCTCCAACACTGGAAGTTTTTTAAAAAGATGTTGGATAACCATTTGTCTGAAGTGGTATAGGGTTTCCTGCCTAAGCAGGGGGTTGGACTAGAAGACCTCCAAGGTCCCTTCCAACTCTGCTGTTCTATACTTGTTTTAATGGGTGAACCAGGTCTCTAGAATTTGCTCAACAAACTGTGATTAAAGCAAACCACAGCTTAAGGCGATGTGATGCTCCACAGAGCTTTTCTCCTTCCTCCTCCCTGCACATAGGGGTGTTCAGCAGTCCTGGTTTTGCTCTAACCATCACTTCGTCGTATCTTCTGTCTCCTCACAGGCGATCAAGCCAATTTTCACCCAGCACCAGAACCGGACAATCAATACCCATTCCAGTCCCTACACAGATCCAAAATTACCGCCGGATTGAGCAGAATCTTCAATCCCCAAATCAATATCCTTCACCACAGTGAGTGTGGGCTGTGAGGGAGGTTGACTCCGATTGACCCGTTGGCCAACGATGATGGGATGCAATGTGGGGAGAAGGTGGATTTCCAGAGGAAGGGAGGGAGGGGTTGCATTCAGGAGACTTAAGAGGCAACTCAGCCTGGATGTTATGTGTGGGAGAAAGAGTGAAAACAGCTCCTCCCTAATGGCTCCCAGAGTATATGGTAGTATATTGCAGATAGTTGGGTGTTCAGCCTGGCAAGTTTCTGTTTATAGGTGTGAAGCAATCAAGAACTTAGCTTGGAAGAATCGTTATGTATATAATTCTTGGTTTGGGACCTGATTGGCAGTTATATAACTATGAAATAGCAGTAACTGTGAGAGGGAACTTGGAGTCTTAGTGGACAACCAGCTAAATATCAGCCAGCAGTGTGCAGCGACAACCAAAAAAGCTAATGCAATCCTAAATTGCATCAACAGAGGGATACAATCAAGATCAAATGAGGGGTGTAATACCACTCTATAAAGCCTTAGTAAGACCACACCTAGAGTACTGCATCCAGTTTTGGTCACCACACTATAAAAAAGATGCTGAGACTCTAGAAAGAGTGCAGAGAAGAGCAACCAGGAGGATTAGGGGACTGGAGACTAAAACATATGAAGAACGGTTACAGGAACTGGGCATGGCTAGTCTAGTGAAGAGAAGGACCAGGGGAGACAGGAGAGCAGTCTTCCAATATTTGAGGGGCTGCCACAGAGAGGAGGAAGGGGTCAAGCTATTTTCCAAGGCACCAGAAGGCCAAACAAGGAATAATGGATGGAAACTGAACAAGGAGAGATTCAACCTGGAAATAAGGAGAAACTTTCTGACAGAACAATCAACCAATGGAACTGCTTGCCCTCAGAAGTTGTGGGAGTGCCATCACTTGAGACTTTCAAGAAGAGATTGGACTCCCATCTGTCAGAAATGGTGTAGGGTCTCCTGCTTGGGCAGTGGGTTGAACTAGATGACCTACAAGGTTCCTTCCAACTCTGATTATCTGAAATATAAATGTAGGTAGGTAGATAGATCTGATAGATCTGATAGATCTAATAGATGGATGGATGATAGGCAGATAGACAATAAACAGATAGGTAGATAGATAAATAGAACTTAGCAATAGCATTTATATACTGCTTTACAGTCTTCTCTTAAGTGGTTTACAAAGCCAGCATATTGCCCCCAACATTTTGGGTTTCGTTTGACTGACCTCAGAAGGATGGAAGATAGAGTCGATAGCAATAGCATTTATATGCTGCTTTACAGCCCTCTCTCAGCAGCTTACAGAGTCAGCCTCTTACCATCACAATCTGGGTCCTTATTTTACAGATCTCGGGAGGATGGAAGGCTGAGTCAACCTTGAGCCAGTGGGAATCGAACTGCTGGCAGCTGCCAGTCAGCAGAATTAGCCTGCAATACTGCATTCTAACCACTCATAACCACAGCTCATGGATGGATGGATAGATACTATAGATAAACAGACAGAGGGATAGAGGGATGGAGGAATGGAACGATGGATGGAGGGATAGACAGGGATAGAGGGAGAGGCAGGAAGGCAGACAGAGAACAAACACAGTGTGATGGCATGTAATCTGGATTCCCAGGAGAACTAAGAGGCAATTCAGACTGGATATTATGTGTGAGGGAAAGAAGCTGAAGACAGCCTCTCCTTAACAGTTCCCAAAGTATATTATAGAGCAGGGCTGTCAAATTCCTGGCCTGCAGGCCAGATGCATCACACGCTGGCCACGCCTGGTTTAGCAAAGGGGAAAAAAGTCCCAATACGTCACATGATGTCACCGTGACAATGTAAGTTTGACACTGTCAGATCCGTGTATCTGTCATTTCTTCAGTGGAAGAAGAAAAGGGGAGGGAGGCTGATAAAGAAATCCTTTCTTGATGTAACCTGAATATATTTAATCTCATATCGAATTTGTATAACCCACACATGATACAATGGAGGGAAAAAAGCCAGGTGGCCAGAACTATCACCTCTGAGAGGCACAGCCAGGAGATGAGAAGATCATAAAAATTCCACAGTGAGATGTGTCCTGGGAATCTCTGGAA